AAGCTTTCAATCAGAGTTCGATGAAGAATTCCGAGAAGCCTAAGTTATCGAGAGAGCAGAGAGAGAATCTCAGGCTGATGAATGTGAAGAGAAAGAAAGACTTTATTTGCTTGGAGAGAGTTAAGGGAAAGATCGTTAACGTACTTGATGGACTTGAGTTGCACACTGGTGTTTTTAGCGCAGTGGAGCAGAAACGGATTGTTGATCATGTGTATCTACTACAAGAGAAGGGACAAAAAGGAGAACTTAGAGGTAGCTTCATGTTTTGATCTGAGAATTCCCTTAATCTTAATGTTGACCTATTTTTCAATCTGAATCTCGTATTGTTCTCTTTATGTTAGAACGTACTTTTACTGCTCCACAAAAGTGGATGAGAGGCAAAGGACGTGTCACCATTCAATTTGGCTGTTGTTACAACTACGTTACAGTAAGCAACTCATTCTCTGCCTTTTTTTTCATTAAACTGTTTCATTCTTACCAACAGGAAGTGAAGAGTTTTTACCTTCTTGTATATCGATAGGATAGAGCTGGAAACCCGCCGGGTATCCTTCAACATGAAGAAGTGGATCCATTACCTTCTCTTTTCAAAGTAATCATTAGAAGGTTGATCAAGTGGCATGTACTGCCTCCAACTTGTGTGCCTGATAGCTGCATTGTCAACATCTATGACGAAGGTGACTGTATACCTCCTCACATTGACAACCACGACTTTCTCCGTCCGTTCTGCACCATCTCTTTCCTCAGTGAGTGCGATATTCTCTTTGGCTCAAACCTGAGAGTTGAGGGTCCCGGTGAATTCTCGGGTTCATTCTCAATACCCCTTCCTGTAGGGTAAGTAACTTCTTATGAATTTCCAATATCGAAACTTTTCACCACTCCTTTTCCAATAACAACTAACACATTGGTTTTGGCTCATTTTTCAGATCGGTTTTGGTTTTAAATGGAAATGGAGCTGATGTAGCTAAGCACTGTGTACCAGCAGTTCCCACGAAAAGGTTATCTATTGTTTGCATCCACTTAGTTTATTGACTAAACATCAATTTCTCATTTCGTGTTTATCCTTCCCGGTTTTTGTCAACAGGATATCAATCACATTTAGGAAAATGGACGAGTCGAAACGCCCGGTTTGGTTCACTCCAGAACCTGATTTGCAAGGGATCGAGCCACTGCCACTGGAGCTGAACCACTCTGGTTCAGCTGCAATTTCCTCGGGATCAAACAACCATAACGCTACTCACCGAAGAGGACGTGGACGTAGAGGAGGAGGAGGCAACAATCATGACACGAGAGGTTACTATAATCCTGAGAGAAACAATCATGACACGAGAGGTTACTATAATCCTGAGAGAAGCAATCATGATTCGCGAGGTTACTATAATCCCGAGAGAAGCAATCATAATTCGCGAGGYTACTATAATCCCGAGAGAAGCAGTGAACAGTATGACACTGGAGAGTGGCCATCAAGCCAGAGAAGAGGAAGGCCACGTCCTAAGTAGAACCAAAGGTTGGTTATAAAATACTTCACAACTTTTGAAGCTGAAAATTTATGGCTTTTACTTTATTTATTATAACCAATTTTCCACATTAAAAAATAGATATGTACAACATAACGTTTTTATTTTTCAAGAGTCCATTCAAACAATTTTATTTTCTTTTTGAAATTTTTTTGACCGAATTTTAATGTAATTGTGTGATGTATACTACGGGTAGTCTGATTTGTGATCTCTAGTGAAGTGTTTTGTGGTTTTGTTTCGCTTTTCTTTTCCTTCAAACTTTCCAACTGATGTGACTAAAGAATTTCGTTTCACGAGGGCATATATATGTGTATATATTTGGTAATCGATATTTGATTTGACCAAGTAATCATTCTTCATTTATATATACTACTATGTTTTTTTTTTTCTCTTTTGTTAAAATTACAACTATGTTTTTGTGAATATCGTTTCACTAAAAGAAAGTACGATTATCGTTTCAAATATCTGACTGATCAAAAATTATTTTTTTTTAAGAGAAATTTCAAAAAATACTATTTTTCAAGAGAAATTTCAAAAAATACTATTTTTCAAGTGTCATTTTACAAAAATGCCACATTTTTTAAATCTTTACAAAAATATCACTTTTTCAAGATTATTTTTTCTTTATATTATTTATGTTTGGGTTAACTATGTTCTATTAGGGTTTAGTTATGAGGGTTTATGGGGGTTTAGGGGCCAAAACATTTTTTAGTGTTTAGAATTTTAAAATATAGGGTTTAAAAATCTATAATTAGTGGCATTTTTACAAATGAACACTCTTAAATGATATTTTTGCAAATATGCACATAAAAAATGGTATTTTTGTAATTTTTTTTTATCCAATCTAATTTTGTGAGGAATGTGACCCTACGTATTAAAGGAATGATAAATTTATGTATTAATAATTTGTTAATATATTGATATTAAATATATAACGACAAAGAGATCTTACTATCCGATCAAAATCGAACCCAAACTTCTCTAGTTTTGTTTTAGCTTTTAACAGTTCGAGATATGTCTCTATACTTTATAGTTTTTTTTAGGGTGAATTAGCTTAATATTACTTTGAGGGTATATAATTAGGAGAGTAACATAAATATAATAGAATTTAGGTGAGTAGCAGAAAGGTAAAATATTTGGACAAAATTACCCTTATTTAATAGAGTAAAAAATGTCAATTAATAAAAAAAAATAATCAAATAAGGAAAGTCGTAGAATTATTTATTTTGGTAATAAATCTCAACAATAATCGAAAAAAACAATCAGATAAGGAAAGTAGTTACAACAAAAAAATCTCTAGAACCCCTAAATTTTTTTTTATGTTGTTGTAGTTGGCGGATCTCAAAAGCAAAGAAAATTTGTATAGTTGACTATATTTTTTTTCTATAGTTAGCTAAAATTCTTACTTTGTATAGATACTATATTTCTACTTTCTATATTGTTGTAGTTAACTATTCAATTAATAATATAGTAAACTATAGTATAATTTTTACAGTAATGAATTTGATTGTAATATACAATTGTATATGTTTTAGTCTATGTTTATCAAAATAGTTAACTAAATAACACTTATAACAAAATATAGTTAACTAAAATAGTTCKRTKGYTATATMMRAWWRKTWRWTWWTYMWT